GACTGACTGAAAGAGCTGATCCTTGCAGCCTCAACTTCCTGCTGTTGAACACTTAGTCGCTGCCTCCCATTCTTCACCTGACACTGGGGCTGATTTATTGCATAGGGGCATGGAGGGCCAAGACATTTACATTTGGTGATTATAGGAAAGCATGTAATAACTGTTCATGTTTGTCTTATTGACTCAGTTGGGCAGCAATAGTCACTATTTGGTTACTCAGTTCCACTTACATATATGGCATGATAAAATGGAATAATCCCTGACCTCAAAGGGCTAAGTTTTGGTCTCAAGTTCTGGTTCTGCTACTGCCAAGCAGGTTTAGGCTGTGACACTGTACAAGCATCAGATTCCTTATTAACTCAGTAGTAAGAATAAATCTCCTACTTCACATGCTTACCTAGAGGACTAAAGAAGATCATGTACAATGAGAATGCTGAGCGTATTTTAAAGTACTCAACAAACATCAGATAGTATCATTACCATCACCACATTATTTGTACAATTAAAACTGACAACGATTCTCAGAGTTCTGAATAATGGAGTCTGAATTCGTAGACTATTACCTTAGAAACAAGTCAGACTAATTTTTAACTTTATATTTGACTAAATCCTTTGTCATTAAAATGGGCTAGAACTACTGTATGAATGAATTTAGACTGGTATGAAACAGATTATTTCATATACACACAATAGTAAAGTTAAAAGGAGTTATTTCGACATTATCTAAAAGAAGAAAGGACAGATGAAAGGAAGAGAAAAAGGAAGGAAAGAAGGGAGGGAGGAAGGAAGGAAGGAAGGCAGAAAGAAAGGAGAAAGAGGAAGAAATGAAGAAAGAAAAGATAAGATAAAACCTTCAAATGAAACTAGGGTTTAGACTTGTCCAAAACTGAAATGGCAGGAAACGGGCTTGGATAATACTTTGCATAAACAGAGACGGTGAAAATGTGCAAAAAATTGTCATAAGTGCCTGGGATACACAAAGCTGAAAAACATGTCATTTTAATCAAATAGAAAATGATTACTACATATCTAATCAGCTAATCAAATTAAGTTTTACTAAGCTCCATATCTTGAAGCATTCCCAATGAAATAATACTCAGTAGATTTCTGTTTAAGATCTAAGACACACGGATGGCCTTTTGTCTTTCCTTGAAAACCCCAAGTACATGCTTGGTCTTATCATTTTGCTAAAAGGCTCTTTAGCTTATCTGTTCTTTTCTAATTCCTCATTTCAATTTGACGTAAGAGGCCTTAGCTTAGTCCAGCCGAAATGCCTCCATTAAAGGAGAGAGCCCACTTTTCTTTACTGAGATTTGAATTGCCATAAGAATAATGAAATTGCTTAAAACCTGAACAAATACATATTAAGTCCCAGGAATTATTCCCTATATAAAAGATGTAAACTGTAGGGCACCCTGTCCTAAAGTAATTAACTAGTAAAGTCCTTTGTTTTCAGCTTTTACTCTCTCCCTTTTCTTGCTCATTGCCACACTGGTAGGAATTACCTTCCAGATAGAGGACTTGCACATCTCTCTCTATCTCAGACTCCTCTCTGCACTCCTTACCTATCTATAGAGCTGCTACTTGACTGTTTCTAAGGCAACTCACACTCATTACTTCTAAGATAAAGCCACCAGAACCAAACCTTGCCAAACTTCCTCTTCTTATTAGTTCCCTCCTAGCAAGGGCCATCCCCACCCATCTCTCCCTTTGGCCCTGCTCTCTAACCCACTGCTAAATTCTGTTAATTTGTAATGATTGGTTGAGTCCATCTACTTCTTTCTACCTTCATGTTATAACTGAAGCCCAAGCTCCTATCATCTCTCACCTGGCTATTCCAAGAGCTTCCCAACTGATCCCCCTATATGCTCCCTTCCCTCCCTATGGTAAAGCAAACAAGGGCAGAAATGGGGTTTGGATACCAAAGACTGAGCACACAACACAATGCTTGGAGACTCCTTTTTGTCCTGAAGCAAAATAAGAAGACTGAGAAACTAGACAGCAATGTAAGCCTTGGAAATAAGAGCTTCAGTGAGAATGAGATGACTGAGAAGAACAAAGTACTATGGGGAGGGAACACAGGACATCACTTGAGGAAGGATGCTAAGGCAGGGGGGGTAAGAAGGTGTGTGAAGGTGTCACTATAGCTGCAACCATGTCACAGCTCTTGCCAGAACCTGCTGGGCAGTTGAGGAATTGGGTCTCCCCTTCCCACACCTACCTGGCCAGCATACTCCACGTAGTCCTGCTGTCCAGGCTGGAAGTTGACCCTGGAGCTGGAGCTGGCAGTGCCTTGCTCAGTGCGACACAGGACAATGGCGTACTGGTTCAGGTTCCCAGTCCTCTGCACTGTGACACTGACAGACCCCGCCTTCTCACTGACATTGTAGCTAGAAACATACAAACACTCAGTCTGAAAATCTGCCCCATGGCTGTGAAGAAATCACTTGTTTAATGGTTGTCTCTTCTCCTTGGTTAGTGGTGCTAAGCTGTTCAGGGAAAAGAAACAGCTTTGGTTTCTTTAAGCAGTCAGGGTGTAAACTGAGGGAATGTGCCCACTTGGAGCAGTCACAGAACCACGAGCAAGGAAGCTGTGGATGCAGAATGCTGCCTGACCCAATTTGTAAGAGAGTTGAGAGTCATTCAGCAGATGGACAGCACATAGGAGCTATGAACCTCCGATGTCTGAACAGGGAGAAATGATCATCACTCCCTAGTGTAGTAAAAGAATCAGAATAGGCCAGTGGGTTCGTGGGGAAAGAAATCTGCTTGGAAAACAACTAATGACTTAGCTCAGGTGAGTATTAACTAGATTAGTAAGTAAAGGAGCCAGGGCAGTACCAGAGGTAAGAAAATGAGAGTTGAGCTTAGGTAGCAACGTATTTAGACAATGGAGCTTTAAGACAAAGGGGAGTGACAGGATTCATTCAGCTTGCTGCTGAGAATACAGATTGCTTTTGCAAACTAGGACACCAACTATTCCTATGCTATTAATTCATAATAAGTATCTAGGCTTGGAAAAGTCACAGCGAGTGGGGCATGAACCAGGCTTTGCTTTTCATCGCTGAGGATGGTCGCTGAACCTGGGAATTGCAGGCAAAGTGCCTCTGAGAGTCTCATCTCCATTATATAAGGTCATCAGAAAAGTCCTGATGTATTTTTCTATACAAAACTTCATATGGCTTTTCTGATGACCCAATAGCTTTGGGAATTTTCATACTATTTAGGTCACTAAAATGTTAGAAAAAGTGATTGGTTTTATTGAATTAATTTCACTTCGAAGGACAAAAAAGCAAGAGGTACGTCACAATAAAACATTACATATATGCAAGTTTGAATTTAAAACTGTTTTAATTTCCCTTTAAGTCTTCAAATGTGTAAGAGTAAACCAGCCTATGTCTGGGGCACATGAAATCAAGTTTAAATGTATTCATCTCCTACCTCCACTCCAAGTTACAACTTTCATCTGAATTATCGTGAAATTGATTTCTTAGAATAGTGAGTTTCTGAATATAGACTTAAAGAATTATTTTTGCCAGGGACCAGCAGTTAGTGTAATGGCTATGTCGCTGAACTCCCATGTAGCCGACTGTGGTTTGAGTCCTGGACCCAGTGGCTTAAACTCACGCTGGGTGCGTGTGTATGCATGCCCAAGATCCCAAGAGGAGAATGGAGGAGAAGGGATTGCGGTGTGGTCAGCCTCCCGGGGGGTGACTTCTCACTATCTTCACTCTCTCTCTTTCTGGCGAGTGCACATGCCCTATAGCAAAAAAAAAAAAAAAAAAAAAAAAAAAAAAAAAATTGCCAGAAAAATTACAATCCTAATTGTAATTCAATCTATTGCATCACCAGCAGGATGTATGCCTATCACTTTCACTGTTCTCTGCCTCTCTAACTCCCCAGTAGATTAAGAAAACATCTTAAAGAACTGTCTACATTAAGCCATAACTTTGCCACTAACCCTATGAAAACCAAAGGAGCTAGGGGAGAATATAAGCTTGAGGACAAGGAGAATCTGCCTCACTAGCAGCAATACTGTTAGTGAGGGCCAGGGATTATTTTCAGCACTTGAATATCTCTTTTTATTTTTCTTATCAGTTCTATCAGCTGATCTTCTAAAACTTGAAGACAGAGCCAAAATACTTATAAAGTATACTTGTAGACCTGCTGGGCAGTTGAGGAATTGGGTCTCCCCTTCCCACACCTACCTGGCCAGCATACTCCACGTAGTCCTGCTGTCCAGGCTGGAAGTTGACCCTGGAGCTGGAGCTGGCAGTGCCTTGCTCAGTGCGACACAGGACAATGGCGTACTGGTTCAGGTTCCCAGTCCTCTGCACTGTGACACTGACAGACCCCGCCTTCTCACTGACATTGTAGCTAGAAACATACAAACACTCAGTCTGAAAATCTGCCCCATGGCTGTGAAGAAATCACTTGTTTAATGGTTGTCTCTTCTCCTTGGTTAGTGGTGCTAAGCTGTTCAGGGAAAAGAAACAGCTTTGGTTTCTTTAAGCAGTCAGGGTGTAAACTGAGGGAATGTGCCCACTTGGAGCAGTCACAGAACCACGAGCAAGGAAGCTGTGGATGCAGAATGCTGCCTGACCCAATTTGTAAGAGAGTTGAGAGTCATTCAGCAGATGGACAGCACATAGGAGCTATGAACCTCCGATGTCTGAACAGGGAGAAATGATCATCACTCCCTAGTGTAGTAAAAGAATCAGAATAGGCCAGTGGGTTCGTGGGGAAAGAAATCTGCTTGGAAAACAACTAATGACTTAGCTCAGGTGAGTATTAACTAGATTAGTAAGTAAAGGAGCCAGGGCAGTACCAGAGGTAAGAAAATGAGAGTTGAGCTTAGGTAGCAACGTATTTAGACAATGGAGCTTTAAGACAAAGGGGAGTGACAGGATTCATTCAGCTTGCTGCTGAGAATACAGATTGCTTTTGCAAACTAGGACACCAACTATTCCTATGCTATTAATTCATAATAAGTATCTAGGCTTGGAAAAGTCACAGCGAGTGGGGCATGAACCAGGCTTTGCTTTTCATCGCTGAGGATGGTCGCTGAACCTGGGAATTGCAGGCAAAGTGCCTCTGAGAGTCTCATCTCCATTATATAAGGTCATCAGAAAAGTCCTGATGTATTTTTCTATACAAAACTTCATATGGCTTTTCTGATGACCCAATAGCTTTGGGAATTTTCATACTATTTAGGTCACTAAAATGTTAGAAAAAGTGATTGGTTTTATTGAATTAATTTCACTTCGAAGGACAAAAAAGCAAGAGGTACGTCACAATAAAACATTACATATATGCAAGTTTGAATTTAAAACTGTTTTAATTTCCCTTTAAGTCTTCAAATGTGTAAGAGTAAACCAGCCTATGTCTGGGGCACATGAAATCAAGTTTAAATGTATTCATCTCCTACCTCCACTCCAAGTTACAACTTTCATCTGAATTATCGTGAAATTGATTTCTTAGAATAGTGAGTTTCTGAATATAGACTTAAAGAATTATTTTTGCCAGGGACCAGCAGTTAGTGTAATGGCTATGTCGCTGAACTCCCATGTAGCCGACTGTGGTTTGAGTCCTGGACCCAGTGGCTTAAACTCACGCTGGGTGCGTGTGTATGCATGCCCAAGATCCCAAGAGGAGATGCCAGAAAAATTACAATCCTAATTGTAATTCATTCTATTGCATCACCAGCAGGATGTATGCCTATCACTTTCACTGTTCTCTGCCTCTCTAACTCCCCAGTAGATTAAGAAAACATCTTAAAGAACTGTCTACATTAAGCCATAACTTTGCCACTAACCCTATGAAAACCAAAGGAGCTAGGGGAGAATATAAGCTTGAGGACAAGGAGAATCTGCCTCACTAGCAGCAATACTGTTAGTGAGGGCCAGGGATTATTTTCAGCACTTGAATATCTCTTTTTATTTTTCTTATCAGTTCTGTCAGCTGATCTTCTAAAACTTGAAGACAGAGCCAAAATACTTATAAAGTATACTTGTAGAGTAAAGCACAGTGGTTAAGATCACTGGGCTCAAATCCTGCCTTGACTGCATATTCGCTGTGTGACTGTTAAGTTACTTAACCTGTTTTCATCTCTATTGTTCTGCTGCTATGGGGATGAGAACAGAATTCACGACACAATTGCAAAGATGAAATAAGAGGACGTATGTCAAATGTCTAGTATGTGCCTGGTACATGCAGTATTCAAATATTTGGTGTCGTTAGTATCTTTGTTATTACTGCCATCATTGTGATCACTATCAGCAGCAGGTGACAATAGCCCACTCTCAGCATGCCTCATCCTGATCTCGGCATGCCTGCTGTAACTCTCAAGAATGCGAGAATAAGAACACTTGTACCTGGTATATTTGAAACTGATGAGGGACCACTGGATATGGAAGACATTGTCGCTAACCACATTGGGTTTACTGTCTTTCACCAGGAACTGAAAACTGTCCATCATCTCATGGATCTTCTCCTCATGCAACACATAACGAATCAACCCCAAGTTCACATCCTCTGTAGGAAAATAAGAGACTCTCGGTGAATTAACCTGATTATGTAAAGACAGCCTCACAAGTTCGCATGCCAACACACCTACTTTATTCTTCTAGTGGGTTATTTTGTTATGGAACAAAAAGTATAGCAGTCCTTAAAATAAATGTTTATGTCAGATTTTAAAATAAAGTCCTGCAGCTCTGAGTAAAACAAGACATGCCATTGTGGACAGAAAGTATCCTTATGCTGTTGTGAAAGGAGAATCCTAAAGTCTTGGCAAAAAGCATGTCAGTAAACTTCTCAAATACTGAAGAGCAAATCTGTGAGTTGACAGAGAAAAGTCCTGGGCCCCATCCTCTCTGTGTACAGCTTCATAGCTGGCCTTAATTCCTTCTAAGGAAGGTTCTTTAGAAGATATGTGCTAATACCAAAGCTGGGGTTGGATTAAAATGGACCCTACACAACATACAGCTAGAAATGTGCTAGGAAGAGGACACTCAATGGTGGACAGGGGAAAACAGGGAATATGGAGCACGAATTGCAAGATGCAGTTTTACAGCTATTACTCTCAAACAGGTCCACCCTCAGAAGCGGTCTGGACGACTCTGAGATACTTATAAGAAAATAAAATTCAAGCTGGTCTGCTTGATGTGATTCCAAACAGGAGAATATTTCTGTTGAGCAACCTATACATGTTGATTTTTAATTTCTTGGCTGAAGACTTACAAATAATCTATAATCCTTAGCGAACAAAGACTAAACCCCACAGGATCACAGATCTTTCATAAAGTCTGCTTGTTATTTTTTGTTTTGTTGTTACTGTTTTTAAAGACAACCAAGCTTTCTTTCATGTAATCTTTTCTAGAAATCTGGTCACAACTGAAAGCAATTTGGGAGCTGAGGAATGGTAAAGATACATTTTTCTTTGTAATTTTTCAGAGTAATAGGAAAAAAAAATGGGAGAAGGTAAATTCACAAGTTCACAAGTTGGATAGTTAAACAATAAAGAATCTCTTTGCTTGCAAATAAGTTTCATGGACCTACGCAGCCAGAAATGACTGTGAGAAAGATTGGGGAGACAGAGGGACAGCATTACAACAGATGTATCCTATTTCTAAGTCCCCAAATCCCCACCCTGAGTGAAAGAAGCAACAGCTCTTCCTGGCTGCAGCTTGCTCTCCACATAGCCATGCTTGGGGCCTGTTGTTATTTCATAGACAAGCTGTAGGTCCTCGGTGTCTGGGTCTGTGGTCAGCAGTTCCTTCTTGGTGATCAAGTTGGTTGCCTGGAATAGAAACCCATTAAATTTAATTCCTGAGGTGGGAATAAAGCAGACATAAGACCCTCTGACTCAGATTTAATTCAGCTCAACAATGATTTACTGAGTGCATTTACTGCATGGAAAACTCTGTCAGGATTGGAAAGGCGATGAGGATAGAAACTATTCAGCCTTTGCCCTGGAGGTATTCGTGCTTTATTGGGAAAGAAAGGCTCATGAGCAAGGTCATTGTGGCAAGAGCTATAAAGGGAGATATAAAAAGAGTGCTCTACACTTTCTGGGAGAGGTGAAGATTATTTCCATCTGCAGTTGAGGTAAGATAGATGCAAGGCAGTGGGATTTGAGTTTAGCCTTGAAAAAAGTTGGAACTTAGAAAGGATGATTCAATACAGGGAAGATGGCCACTTTATATCTTACAGGAATCAATTACAATGCTCAAAATCAAGTAAGATAGATATACTCCAACATTGCCCAAACATACTGGCTTTTTTTTTTTTTTAAATTTTGACAAAGGGCACATGCACTTGTTGGAGAGAAGAATCAGAGAGAGAGAGAGAGGAAAGAAGAGAGAGAGAAAAAAAAGAAGAGAGAGAAATCACTCCCCCAGAGGGTATGACCATCTTACAATGCCTTGTCCTCCATTATCCTCTATGGATTTTGTGCATGTATGCACATGTGCCTGGCATGATTTTCATGCCCCTGGGTCCATGAGTCAAACTGCAGTTGGCCATGAAGGAATACAGCCACTTTAACCAACATGCTACCTGCTGCCTCTATAATGGCTAAATTTTAATTCATTCATTAATTCAGTTGTTCAATAAATATTTAGTAAAAACAAAGGTTTGAGAGAAGCAAGGGGGTCATCAACAATATTAAATGTTAGTAGGTCTACTAAGGTAAGGACAGATCATTGACTTTGGATTTGGCAAAACAGAGGCTATTAGCGACTTTAATAACAGTCACTGCAGTAGGGTAGGCAAAGATGGCATTTACCCAATTGGAGAATGTTGAGAAAAGAATGGGATCATTCTGAACATGGACTGCAAGTGGTATGTTCAATTTTTGTATCACTTGCTTAAAATGAAGTTCTTCACCATCTTCCCTGTTACCCCTTCCCATCAACTGGAATGTTAATAAATTTCTGAAGAGCTTTGGCCGTGCGGTCAACAACAGCAACCTGGTGATAGCAGAACAATAAGATGGAAGGAATCTGTGTCTAAGTGGTCATGTGAAGGCCTAGGCTGCCCCTGACTTCTTCCTGATATGTGAGAAGAAAATAAAACCATGCAAACCTACTATCTTCTTTGACCAAACTGACTATATTTTGGGGGTCTTTCTGTAGAAAAATCATGAAGTGCAAATAAGCAGTCCTACACAATCTTAATAAACAATCCTAACAAACTCGAAGAGTCCCTCAACTTTAGAGACATCAGTTCACTTAGAGAAGGATAAACACAGAAGTTGAACTGGAGTCTTACATATGTCATGGTCACGAATAATGTAGCCTGAGATGGGGGAGGTGAATGTGGCAGCTGGAACACGCCTTACCTTGCCATCCATATACTCCAGCCACTGGAGCCCCAGGTTGGTGACGATTCTAGGAGTGCCATCATCTACTGGGAGGATATCTACTCGAAACTGCTGAGGTGCTGCTGTCCTGATCTATTGGGGATGCCAGAAAAGAACACACATCATTAACAAGACACTTGAAGTATGTTGGGTCCAGGACCTGGAAGGCTGGAGTCCCTGAAATCAGAGATGAATTAGGAGCACTGGAAAAAGTTTCTATCCCTTATCATCAGTCAGCCTAAGGCCGAAGGAGAGTGCTGACGGATAAAGTGAGAACACTGCTCAAAGGAAGCAAGAAGCGAATGGCACCCTTTGGGTTTTTGTTCGTCTGTTTTAATATTTTTAATAAAGTTTCTTCCATCATGACAGACACAGGCACCTCCAATAGGGTCTTCTTGCTGTGACCCACTGCCGACTCAGCTGGCCTGGCTCACGGGAACATGCGTGAATGCTGAGTGGTAATGGAGGTCCCTAGCTACATTCCCACTGTGCCACCACCTGGTCCACCCAGTGGTAATCCTGAGGGATTTTATCTGCTATGGAAGTTGGGAAGTTCTCACATCTAAGCCTTCTTCAGTTGAGTTCAAGATTGCCCTGAGATAAAATAATGAACAGCATTTTCCTTTCAATAACCCGTATTTACATTTTCATGATGGGCTGACAAAAATTAACATTAAAATGTAATGTCACAGTCTCCAGGTAAGATGACGTCAGATGTGAAAAGAGGTTTTCATAGAAAGACATTGTATTTATTTTTCTTTTCTTGTTTTTGTTCTTGTTTATTTGTCTTGAGGGAGAGCGACTGATGTGGGGGTAAGTGACAGAAGAAACACAAACAAACATTTGTGAGAATGACAAAACAGCGCGCACACACACACACACACACACACACACACACACAATGAGTCCAATCTAGCCCCTCACTGCTCCTGAGCAGATATGACAAGCCGGAATACAGGGCAGTAAGATGCTGGCTTTTCAATCTCCTACAACTCACCTTCTAAATAATTTCCATTTTTTAAATGACATGGTCTCTCAGGAGACCTGCCGTGACCTTTTATGTTTATAAAAGTGGTAGTACTCTTGCTGATACATCTCGAAATCTTTTTTCTCATCTGAAAGTCAGACTCAGACTAACTGAGGAGCAGCGCTACACTTTAGGGGAGAAAAAGCAAAGTGACGACCTGCCAGTGAATGATGCAGCACAGACATGGAAATGGCAGGAACTCCCAGGAGCCATCCCATGACACACCGGCCAACTGAGAATGACCTTCTTACAGACCAGTTGGCTCTAAAGGATGCAGGAGATCTTTCTTGCAAGAAAATAATCATTTATCATCAAAGCAGGGAAGTGGTTCTGCAGATCCAAGTAGCAGATCCTTTTGTTATCCTGGAGTACATGGGACTTCCAAAGGTTCATGGAGAAGTGGGATTAAAGTACAAGTTTATTTTGATGCAAAAAATAGAAAACCATGCATAGTTCTTTCATAATATGTGTTTTCCATGAACATTTGAAGACCCATGGCATAGTGGGTGAGTACGTAGCTTATTGAAATTGCTTCTGCCCTGTCAGACACAGGTGTGGGACCAGTAGCAGTGCCCTCAGGCCCACCCTTGGCCAGAGTTGTGGTTATTGCCAGGCGAGGCTTGTTGGACTTCAGGAAACCTGGTAAGAAATGAAGGAATGAGGAAAAATGGTGGGGAAGGAGTGTGCAAGTTTCTTCAAGACCCCTGGACTTTTGAAGGGAGCAATTCCTTCAGAAAGTAAACCTTTGCAGTTGTGAGACTTTCAGAGAAAAGCAAGCTACTGATTTCTAAAGCTGGTCCTAAAATGATGATAGGGACGATAGTTACGGTACAGTTTCTTTGATGTTCCCTTGTGCCAGGACTAGGCTAAGTGCTTATGTAGAGTAGGGGGGGGAGGTGTCACCCCTACTTCACAGGTAGGAAAGCTGAGGCTTAGAAAGGTTAAATGATTGGCAAAGACACCCAGCTTGTAAGTGACAGAGTCAGAATTTAAATTAGTATCTTTCAATACAAAAGCCATGCTTTTAACCTTAGTTATTTCTCAAAGACTGAGCTGAACTGGGGGGGGACTTAATCCAAAAAGAGAATCAATAATTATGTAACATTATCGAAAAACCAGATTAAAAAAATTAAGGAATTAAAGGTGGGCAACAAAGAAAGAAGAAATAATATTAACAACAATTATTATCTTTCCTTGAAGTCTCACTATTTGCTAAGAGTATTAAATAAGCATTTTATGTGGATTACCTCCTTTGATCCTTAGGCTATTTGAAGCTGGTCATTATTACCGATCCACTTTTACAGATGAAAAACTGGGGCTTCAGAGCAGTAGTCTGCCTGAGGCCAATCGACTATGAAGTGATAGAAAGAGAACTCAGTGCTATGCTGGATGTAAAAATCCACATTCTGCCTCTGGCATGTACTGCTAGAACTCCATTGTCTT